CCATCAGATATTTCTACCCAGACAAGCATGTCATCTATGTATAAAGACAGTTTTACTTCATTTCTACTATGGATGACTTATTTCTTCTTGAATTGAGGCTTAGTAATGTTGGAAGTCCAGGGACCTGAGTTTTAATGCCAACTTTGCTATAACTAGCTGTGCAACCTTTGGCAAATTGCTTTCCCTCTCTGAACCCCAGTCGCCCTGTAAAGTGATCCATGTTCTCTCCCACTTCTAACATTCAGTGAGACAAAGAATGCTTTCTGAAAGGTATTAGCACTCTAGTTGTAATCCACGGCTTCCTGCCTCCAGGCCTCTGAGTCCTACCTTCTTCCCGTTAAGCAGTTGACTCATCCTGCTCAAGACAGTTGAGTTGAACTGGAGGGTGTCACCTCTTCTCCTCTCAACCTTCCAGTGAAATAAGGGAGTGGCTGTATTCAGTCATCCTTTTACCGTTTGCTCTGCTGCCTCCTATTGGCAAAGCCCAGTCTTCAGGGTGGGTTATCTGTGTTCTGGCAAAAGCCAGAGCATTTAACTCAGGAAAAAATCAGGTGAGAGCCACATACATAGAAAAAGCAATTTCATTGGGTATTTTAAAAAATTTTGTCATTACACACATTTCATCCTTTTGCTTTTGAATTCAGTCCTTATCAATAATGTAATGTGGTACAAAGATAGGATAGGCTAAAAAGCTGAAAAGACACAGTCCTGCCCTTCAGGAACTTGAGTCCAACAAGAAAATGGTCCATTCTCTATCTTTTTGAGAGAGGGGTAAGCAGACAAAGCTACGCTGGACTATGTTGGAGAAGGCCTGGATCCTTAAAAATAAGGAATTTGGGCAAACCCAAGCTATGATGGGAATGAGAGATAGAGTGGATGTTTTTATTCTTTTGAGTTACCCTGCATCTAGATCTCATTTTTAGGTTTGGGAGCTACCTCTCATTCTGAGAAGGAGCCCACTCCCATCAGAGGGAAGACTTGTCCAGTCTTCCCGGCATCCAGGGCACCCTCTAAGCCTACCCAACCAGATGTGCTCACCCCAAATTCTGAATCCAAACCTGGTGATACAGGAACCATGAAAACTCCTTCTGGTGATGGAAGACAGCAGCAGCTACATCTGATCCCCTGAGTCAGTTGTAGCACATCTCGTTTCTAGAATTCAGAATCACCTGTTCAACTCTTTCATTTTACAAATGCAGTGTGGACTAAATTAAAACCAACCAAATGAGAACAGGCAAAGGCTATTTATTCAGAGCTTGTTATAGCAAAGAAGTCAGCTATTATCACTTGTGTTTTAACACAGACTTAAAGGCCTGCGGGAGTGGGAAAGCTTTACAGTAGGACACAAGAAAGCCTTTGGGTATGCCTTGATTGGCATGGGGAAGCTCTCGGTGGGCTAACTAGAAGCAGGACGTCCTATGTGATTGGTTAGGAGTGTGTATTTGGCTTTCCTGGTTCATGCTAAGTTGGGAGTGGGAACAAAATATGGGGAATCTGTCAGTTACCAATCAAATCATGACCATCAACGGACCAATTGCTACAGGAGCTATGGTTTGGCTTCCAGGCTGGGTGCTGTAGGCAATGGATTGGTTTCCTATGCTGCAGATTGTAGATCAGAATTCTGTTTTTACATATGGTCTAACCACTGTCCATTTGTATATTCCATCTCTCAGCAGAAACTGAGACCTGGAGAGGTAGAGTAACCAGAACTGATAGGTCAACATGAGGTTCAGCATATTTATCTTGTGACCTCCAAAGGAACTTACATTCTGCTTGTTGAGGAGACCAGGTTTAGACCATGGAAAAATGAAGGTCCACACAGATGTCATAGAGAGTAGTTGCACCAGGAAGTTTGAGTTAGCACTACAGCTTGGTAGAAAGGCTCATCACCTTCCTCTCAAGGCAGATATAGGCAGGGCTTCTGTTGATCAAGGGCTCTCTATAGACTGGACATTCTGTCCAGATGGCGAGGTGAAGTGGTCAGATGCATGGTTCTCAGTCTTTCTACTGTATTCATAGTTTACCTCCACCATTGTAAGCTGTGTGAACTTAAACAGATACTTTACCTTTCTGGTCTTCAGCTTCATCATATGTAAAATGGCAATAATCAGAGCTATCTCATCATGCTTGTATACAAATTAAATGAGTGGGCACTTAACAACACACTTAGAACAGTACCTAATATGTAATAAGTGTTTGTTCAAGTTAGCTATGACAATCCCACTTAGTATTCACATCAACCCAGCGTGGTAAGTAGTATAACCTGCACTTTGCAGATGAAGAAACAAAGGATACTTATGTCACTTCCCCAAGATAGTGGTTGTCAAAGTCAGGATTTTTATTCATGTCTCTATGAAGTCATCACACATTTTTCCTTCCTACTGTACCTCCAAACTCGAGATGCCATTGTTAGAAAAGTGAACAGTACAGTGGGAAGCATATAGGGCTGTGGTATCAGGGTGCACACATTCAACTCTTGGTTCTGCCCCCTTGCACAAATTACTTACCGTCTCTGAGCACTTTATCCTTTGCAAACTGGTAACAATACTATCTACCTCACAGGGTTGTCTTAAGGATTGAGTAATACGATATATGTGAAGTTCCAAATACAGTGCCTGACACGTGATGAGTACTTAATAAAGGACAATAATCATTTTAATTGATGGAGTCAGAAGTGACAATCATAAACCATTCTTTAGAGACTGTCCCTCACTGGCCCCACCTTTATGAAGTTTTCCCTTTACCCATAACCTGATGACTTCTTCACTGCTGAATTCCCTATTGTTGGTACTATGATAGGTCAAGCAATGACTTGGAGGAAGAAATGGGTCTTGCTGGGGAGAGGGCTAGATAGGCAAAGAGATAACAAGTCATTGCTAACATGGTAATGTATAGTCCCAAACGACCCAGGCTTCCCATGGCCCAGACTTCCAGAAGAGTCAGAAACATTTCCCAGGAAACAAATGGAGGAATTTCATCCTTGGCTGTGGGGTTCAACCTGTGACACACCCATCTGGAAGACTCACACCCTTGGCAGGTAAAACCAGCTTCTTCCTTGCTATTCAATGTCTCTTGGAGGTGGTTGTTCCAATTTTAACACCGAGTTCAGTGAAGTTGCCTCCTCAACTATTCCTTGAGAGTTGAAGCTAAGTTATTTGTCAGATTGGTCACAGAAAACCAGGATACATGCAACTGGAAGGTATGATAGAAGACAGGTGAGATGGAGTAAAAATCCGATAGCAAATAGGTAATAATTATGTGGAATATGAAAGCAGAAGGTGTCTTGTTTTCAAAGGAACATAAAAAACCATGTCTTCCATCACCCCAAAAGGTAGATATTATCATCCTGTTTTCCAGAAGGAGAAACTGAATTCCAAGAAGGTTAAGTTTTACAGCCCAAATCACTCAGGTATTGAGGGTTGAGTCATGATTTGGATCCAAGAAAAAAGATCTGGGAAAAATACACCTAAATGTTTAAGAGTGGATAATAGATGATCTAAATTTTCTTCTTTATGTTTCTCTGTATTTTCCAAACTTCTCTCTTGGGCAGTTGTTACTTGTATAATGAGAAGAGAAATTAATAAAGTTATTTAAACTTCATCAAGGCCCAAGCCGAGGGCTGAGAGCAGAAGCCAGAGGCAGTGAGGGGAGCTGGCTTTGGGAGCCGGGACATCAGCGTTAATCTGCTGTTCATTAAATTGGGAAAACTAAACTGCTAAGCTGGGGTGCAGTTCAGAGTGAGGTGGGGAGGAAGGAGGCAAACGGCCAGTGCCAGAAGAGCTTAGCGAAGCTCAACATGTAAGGGGCCTGATTAGAGAACACTGACTTAGTAGTTGGTCACAAAGACAAAGACTTGATCCAGAAACAACCTAGACCCTGGGGCTGGCCAGAATACAAAGTAAAAGAGCCTCAAGATAGTGTTCATGCACTAACGTGGGCAAGGCTCAGTAACTACACGTCTGTGTAGTTCTTAACCCTTATAATAGAGCCTTCTGCCCACTGTATTTTGTGTTGCAATCAAGACTCACTTCTGCCCACTGTATTTTGTGTTGCAAAAGTATGAGAACCTAAAGTGAGAAAGAAAACCAGGCACAGAGAGGACAGTGCTCAAAGCCAACAAGGTGAAAGCAGACTGAAGCCCTTCACTTGGTCACAGCCCCTTTATGTAGAGGGCAGAGTTGTGGGATCAGAGATGTGAGTCAATTAAGACGTAGAGCTGGGAATACATTCAGTAAGAGAAAGAAGGCCCAGGTTCCCACTGGCCTCTTTCTTCCCCAAAAGAGCAAGAAGTCCCTAGGTAATAAGAGATTCAAGGTCTCCCTACCATTGTTTTTGCTCCTGAAGCATTTCCAAACTCCACAGAGATATTATGCAAAGAAAACTTTATTTGTAGAAATACATTTTGGCCATACAGGATTCCATAGCAAGTATGGGGTTGGGGAGTTGAGTGGGGGTGGTCAGTAATTGTAAGATAAGTCTGCAATTTCACATCAGAACTCCTTCCACAACCCACACTTAGTAGCCATTAGTTCACTTTTAAATATCTCACAGAGTCTTGGCAGTCAGTAAATGTGCCCTTAATTTAATAAAATGAATAACACCCCTAGCCACCCCTCTAGAATTTAGAGGGTTTGTTTACTTTACGAAAACCTGCATGAAAACCTGTAGTCAGATTATAAATACCATCCGTGAATTTTTTAATAAGTCTTGTCTTCACAAACAAAAATAAATAAGTTAATTAGCAAAAATAAATAAATATATTAACTAATAAATACACCCAACAGTAGAAAGGATATTACCAAAATCTTATAAAACCATGGGCTAGATTAAGGGTGCGAACACATGGAGACAACCACAATAAGGAAGCAAATAATAAATAAATAAATAATAAACACGATGACCAGCACTAAATTATATAGCAGCGAGATGGTGGTTTGGGGTCATGCCTCCGCCAGTACCAAGGACTGGGACTCTCGGCCAGCACTGCTGCCAGTAAGGTTATCACTCTCCTTCTATTTCATCTCCTCCATCCATTGCAGGAGAATGTTGAGCTCTCCCAAAGCCTTCACCACTGCTGCCTGAGGCGTAAGCTGAAAGACACAACTTCTGTGGTGAGCACCTCATAAAAAGACAGTATGCACTCCCGGGTTAATTCTCCCCTTTCATTGGTAGGTCTGCAGGGGATTGTAAGCATAGTATTCTTTTCAAGGTGGAGAGCTTGAAAGAAGTTGTGGAATCTCGAGATCTCACAAGAGGAAGGAAAATCATGGAGTCCATTACATAGGGAAACTGAAGCCTAGAGGGTGGCAGAATTCGGACTACAACCCAAGCCTCTTGAATCACAGAGATCAAAGTAATTAGGCTGTTTTGTTTTGTTTTGTTTTGTTTTTAAGAAAGGTGTGTGTGTGTGTGTGTAAGGGTTGACTACTGTGCAACTTCAACTGAACAAATATTTATTGTGTTAAGCATTGGGCTCCCTAGGGATTCAAAGATGAATGGCACAATCCCTGCTGACAGGGAATTCAGACAAGTGAGGGAGACAGAAGCAGACAACTAAAATGTAGTGTGGTGGATAGAGGATGGAGCCCCCATGGGATCACAGGAGAGGCGCCTAACTTTGGGAGAGTAGTCAGTACCTTCCTGGAGCTGATGCCTAGGATGAGTATCAAAGGATGAGTAGGAATTAGTCAGTGAGGAGTAGACTCCAGGCCTTCCTGGCTGATGTGCAAAGGCACCACGATGAGAAACAACATGGCATGTTTTTGAGGGTATGTGTAAGTGCGTGAATGTTGGAAAACTATTGCCTCTTATTTGTACAGCTGGAAGATCCAGTTGTCTCTGGAGTGACTTGATGGAATTAGGGCCATTTCCTCTAGAATCCCAGAGCATCTTCCAGAGACAGCACCCTTATAAAGCCCGGATGGGTGTCCCCTGGGTTAAAGCAGAGGGGTGGTCCACATGACCTCAGAGAGTTACTGAGGGCTACAGGATTTCTACCAGTATGAATAGCCATCCCATCCATCTGTGATCTCAGTTCTAAAAAACACACCCATCCCAACCAAGGCCAAAATTGCATATACCTCTTCGAAGTGACTCAGAATCTGGCTGTATTTCTCCATTGCTTCCTCTCCACAAGGGCATGTCATCTGGGCATGCTGAAAAGAATGCCACAGAATAATAGATTTTATTAAAGATTCTGATTTTCTGCCCTTGTCACTACTGTGAAGTAACAGGAATTCTACTCTTTCACCTACATTCTTGCACATACTCCATTCTTATAGAAAAGTCTTTTCAGATCTCATCATTGGGGATCAGAAAACTAATCATAAGCTAGAAGAGGCCAGTTTTATAGGCTCAAGTATGGAGCTCTTTGTTGGATCCCCAGGTCCTATTCAGACCTTATCTTGATATTGAGTCCAATGGCTTGCTGAGTGGCTGCCTGGACACAGGATACGCTAATATATCGTAGGATCTTTCACCTACAGAAAAAGTGTAATTTCATGGATAATAGATAATTTTCCTGAATATTAAATAGCATTCTGTAGCTATTTAGACGTTGTGCCTGGAGCATATACCCAAAAGTCAGTAAAACTGAGTTCTTATTACCTAGTCACATGGCACAACACAGATTTTGAGAACTTTTGGACTCAGTTTTTCTATCCATTAAATGGGAGTAAGAAAGAGCTTGGTTGCTAAGTCATTGAAGTTATGTGCAGCAATGGATCCTTTTACCCAAGACCTTTACTCACACAGAGCCAGAGGTCCTTCTTGATGGTAAGAAAAGAGTTGGCAAGACTGCTGGTCTTCCGGAGGATATGGTGGTCAGGAGTCTGATAGTTTTTGAATACCTTGTCCAGGTAGAGTCTCAGTATATGGCGCAGTAGGCAGCACTGATCTGCAGGCTACAAAGAAGACTAGTATGTTGGTGGGGGAAGAGCACCCAAGGACAAGACCCAGGGTGATGGAGAGGCCTCCGATTTACATTTTCTCTCAGAACTTTATGGACCAAGCACATACCTTTGTGTCTTGCAAAGACTCAGTCTTCCTCAAGATTCTGATATCAATGATTTCATCTTTGGCTTGCTAAATGGAAGAAGGCAAGACAAGAAAGGACAGGTCACTGATGACTGCCAGGTCTTAGACATCAAGACCTCTCATCCTCTCCCTGCCACACAGCCCAGCAGACAGTGTCCCTTTCCAAAACACTCTTAAATTGTGAACTACAGCTGTTTCTTGGGAACACATCCTCCCTGGTAAGGAGTCCCCAACCTATCTCTTTTTGTGATCACACTGCTGGGCTGCCAGAGGACAGAGAAAGACAAGTAGAGAAGAAGAGAGACAGCTACTGGAACAGGGAGGTGTTGCCTCCCTCACTTACCACACTGTCTCGTATCTCAGAAAATCCACTTCGCATTTCCTGAAGGTTTGTGGTGATCACACAGCTTCCCAAATGGAGTGTCTTCAGCCCAGCAGAAGGTGTCCAGAAGAGATAAAATGCAGCAGAGAGAAGGCAGATGGGAAGACCAGAGGCTTTCATCTCGTGCCAGAATCTGAAGACCAAAGGAGCTAGGAATTCAAAGGAAAGAGAACGACTTACTGGTTTTCCCAACATCATGTCTTAAGAAGCCAATTCAGTCACCAGGGACATGCCTTCCCCACGTGTCCCCTGGTGAAACTCAATAGCTTTGCCTGGCTTTGGACAGTCTGGCCCTTTCATCTAACTTACTAAGAAAAGCTGCTGAGCCTCCTGGAAGAAAAGACTCTGGGTGTTTTTTCAGGGTCTGAGTGTGAGTTGGTGCTACAGGTCCTGACTCCTTTATTGTGTCCCCATCCCAGCCCCATCGTCATTGCCCAGCAGGTAAGGCCTAGAGCAGCAGGCCCTTGCAGTGAGTAGACAGAGGATTACATTTCAGGGAAAATGTTAAAACTTGTTTTGGCGAATTGACGTGTACAGTCTTCCCTTCCAGAATGCCGATGTAGCTCACTCTTCTGGTCCCTTTAAGCCTGAAGGGGACCTGCAGGAAAACAGAATCTCATAGAAGCTGTTGCTGAGCCACCAAAAACAGGCAGGGAAAATTGTCTGTGGATATTATGGCCACCCCCCAGGGCAGAAGAGCTTAGCTCTTTGGTATTTGTCTGGGATCAGGTTGGTTATTTGGGGATAATAGACTTATTTCAGCCCCAAAGGCAAACAGAAAGTCAATGATTTCATAACAGTCCTACTGCCAGGGAAAGTCAAGATCTGATGGGCAATTAGCCCAGTTACACCTAACACTTCTCCCTCCTGAGGTGTCTGAGCTCCACAGCACCCTCTACAGGAAGGCTAGAGTCAGGCACATCTGAAAGGAATGCAAGAGGGTGCTCTCTCCTGACTGCAACTCCTGGCTCTGCCCAGGCCCCCCGAAAAAGGAGAAGAAAGGCAGGAAGGGAACTCATTTCTTCTTGGGATAGGCTGCTCCTATCCCCAAACTGCTGAGTTTTTGTTTGTTTGTTTGTTTTTTAAAGATTTTATTTATTTATTTGAGAGAGAATGAGAGAGAGCACATGAGAGGGGGGAGGGTCAGAGGGAGAAGCAGACTCCCCGCTGAGCAGGGAGCCTGATGCGGGACTCGATCCAGGGACTCCAGGATCATGACCTGAGCCGAAGGCAGTCGCTTAACCAACTGAGCCACCCAGGCGCCCCAAACTGCTGAGTTTTAAGATAAATTATAATGGGCTGGGATTAGGGTGAGGAGAACAAAGCACTCACCTCGAGCACAAAATTTAAGGGGCACCAAAAGTCTCAATAATCAAGATAAGTTAATATTTTAATGCAACATCAGAATTAATGAAAAAAATCCATGATGAACAACATATCAACATTTTAAACAAAGACAGAAGCTGACAGTGCCATGCTGAGACATACTGGCTAAAAGTTCCCATCAAAGTAGGTGGTCCCAGTTTGCCCAGGACTGAGGGGTATCCCAGGACACGAGACTTTCAGTTTCAAAACTGGGGAAGTCACAGGTAAACCTGAATGCTTTAGTCACCCTACAGCTACGTGACCCTGGGCAAGTAAACTTGCCTCTTTTAGTTTTGTTTTCTTAGCCCCCCAAATGGTGGTAATAATCCTTACCCCAGAAACTTGCTTTGACATTTATAGAAACTGATGCATGGTTTATACATCTAAAATATAGTGAGTAATCAATTCATTTAAAAAAAAGAATGATGTTAGTTGCCTTGAGCATAGGGGGTGTATAGTAAATATAGGTTAAATTCAACAATTTGATTAGCATTTATTGAACACCGTCTTAAATATTGTGCTAGGTACTGGCATGAGAAGATAAACATGACACTTCTCTATCCTTAGGATATTTGGTCCTATTGGAAAGGACTCCTTTAGATGTGGCCCTGAACACACTTGGATAAATGATTGGGAGAACCAGCCTGATCCCCAGAACTGTGTGAATGGTGTAGGGAAAGGGAGTTCTCTTACCTGAGTTCAGGAAAGGCTGTTGCTTGTGGTCTCCTAGGAGTCTGCCTCAAGCCAAGAGGCTTCCAGTTACTTATATATGTCATATAAAGGCTGTGAGCTCCTGCAGGTGAGGTCTGAAACTCCCCTGGAATTTCTCTGGTGGCATTGCACTTCCTCCCATCCTAAGGCAGATTAATTGCAGGCTGTGTTACCTCAACACCCTCCTCCTAAAGAAGCCTTCTTGGGAGACGACTGGGTATAGTTTTTAGATAAAAGATGTGCCTCTTTTTTCCCCCTCCCTTCCAGAAGGAAGGTAAAATGGTAAATCAGGACCGGAAAGATCGCTGAATTACAGAACTGGAAGAGAATTCCAAGAGGTGATTTTGTCCCCTCCTTTATTCTTCTAATTTTTATTTTTTAAGATTTTATTTTAAGTAATCTGCACACCCAACGTGGTGCTGGTGAAGCGGGAGAGCAAGGTTCTTGTCTCCCAGAGTGGAAGAATGAATCTCAAGGACAAAGGAGAATGAGTAAAGCAATAGAGTTTTATTAAGTGAAGATACAGAAAAAGCTCTCAAGAGTGAGAGGGGTTCCAACAGGGTTGCCAACAAGGGCCTCCCCTGACAGTCTTTAATTTAGAACTGACCAGGGAGCTTGTGGCCTTACCATTCTTGTGATGTCTTGGCTTGAGTAAGGACTGGTAATAACATTTTTGTTTTTTCAGGGTCTGAGTGTGAGTTGGTGCTA